TTCTGGACAGACAATTGGTCCCCTTTTGGTAGCTTGATCACCTTCCTTGCAAATAACAACAACTCCAGAATGGGAATCCCTTTGACTTCCACGTTGAGCAATCTTTACTTGAATGGCCGATGGTTGTTACCTTCTGCAAGAACAGACAATCAGGTAACTTTACATGCCTRTCTCACCAATATCTCCCTAACGGCTCAAGATGACTATTATGAATGGGAAATAGATGGGAAAATTGAGAATCGCTACAATACGGGAACTGTTTAYACTCTCCTACGGGAACAATTACCTTTGGTAAACTGGAGCAGGGCCGTTTGGATTAAAGGGGGGGTTCCTCGGCAAAGTTTCCTCTGTTGGTTGTTTGTGCTTAATCGATGTCCCACAAAGGATAGGATACTTGGATGGGGTCTACAAASAGATCCTAAATGCTTGTTGTGCGCTAATCTACCAGAGAGTAGAGACCACTTGCTATTCGTCTGCGGATTCAGTTGGTCTATATGGAGCCGTGTGGCTTCACGTTCTCAAACAATAGCACATAGGGACTGGGCTTCAACAATCAGTACCATGCAATCTTTAAGAGGACCAAGAGAAAATACGAGACTGTCTCTCCTTGCATGGCAAACAACGATCTACAACATTTGGACGGAGAGAAACCAAAGACTCCATCGGAACACTTTCCGATCGGTTGACTCGATTTTGCAGATCATAGACTCAACAATCCGGAATAAAATATCTGGCTTCAGAGACACAAATCCTAATTTGCGCTCTGGCATGATGCAAAGATGGCTAAGGAATCATTGACCTCACTATTACTCGATCGGAGACTCTGTAAACGGGAACTGGTGAACGATTCAACTTTCAGCAACAAGACAACATTTAATCGGTTCAAACTTGGGTTTYTTTCTTGTATTATTAAACATGGGCCACTAAATGTAGTTGGGCTTCCGTAACAACACTAGTCCATGGGACTTGTATGTTTTCTTTTTCCTTTTTTTTATGTATTCAATAGAAAACCCTTTTTC